ACAGAGCTGATCTACTGAAAAAACAAGACCAGGTGGCTTGTGGATCAAGATAAAAAATGAGATGAAGTGTTTTTGTTTTTTCAAACTTGCTCTTACTCTCCTAATCCTTAACATAAAAATCTTTCCAGAATTCACTGCTTAGATGAGGGTAGTGAAATGAACGTTCAGCACCAGCCAAGAAGCTGCCATTTAGAGGATATTAAAACCCACCTACGAGACGATTAGGAGTGCAGCATCATTTGCTATAATGACTGACTGTAGTTCCTCTATGCCAGATTCACATCCAGTGAGAGTAGCTTTCTCCCAGGAGCCACCCAGCAGCTCCACCCAAGGGCAGCATTGTGCTGTTCTTGCTCCAAGGGGCTGTTGAGGACCAGGAGGACATAGTCCTGTTTCAAATGACCACAGAAATCACTATTCACCAGGCCAAGCTCCAGTGATGGCCCCATGCTACAGCTGTGAAAAGGTGTACATAGCTTAGCACATTTTCAGCACTCAGGTAGGATTAGATCTGGATTCAGCATTCAGGTACTTTCAGATGTGGAAGACACCATGGGCTGTATTCACAAAGAAACTTTACTGCAGGGACTGCAGTAAATATAACATCCATATTGATGGTCACCCTCAGAGGTGGATTAAACCTCCAGATTCTAGATGGCTCTGAGGAATATGAGCACTCTCCTATGTTCATTTTTGGTGAGGTAATTAGGCGTGCATACCAATTTGTCATCCAGGAGTGACACAGCAGACTTGAAACAGGCTGGTTTCAGTCAGAAACTGATTAAGCAAAAGGATATCAATGCTCAATGATAACAACTTCACTGATTTTTAACTCCACTACCCTTTTCTAGGGGACAAAAAACTTGAAGTTCTTGCAAGTTTTAAGATTCTGAAGCTTCTTCAAGCTGCACTAGATCTATTAAAAATCTGAGTTTGGATGAGAACTGGTTGGTAATACTGCCTGCTGACTGATTCCTGCACTGACAAGAGCTACTGTAGTCCAAACAGATTTTATTAGACAGAAGCTGTTGGTTTTGACATGCAAAATTACAAGTTCTCCAAGAAGACTAAGAGTCAGAGCGAATGAAGTTGCTCAAGTAGTCCTATTAGATGCTATTAAATTACATTAGATGCTACAGCAGTTACTTCACACGGCTGTCCTAGGCAGATAGCCAGTGCAGAATTGTTGTTCAGCCTGCTCAAAGGATATAAAGACTACTAAGAAAGCCTAAAGATCATTAATTAAGCACTCAGAACTGGGGCAAGGAAATTCCTTGCATAGATCTAGCCTGGTGACTGAAATCCTCCCTTGCTGTGAAGCCAAGAATGGTATAATGCTAATGGCACTGTAGTATTGCCCAGCCACACTTTGCTTTTGTCATTATTTTCTTTTGGATGTCTGAGAGATGTTGAGAAGACCTGACAGTGTTCAGCAAAAATCAAATGAAAACATGACATGAATAAGGGTCTTGCTACTTCTCCTAGTGCATGTTCAGAAGAGCCAAAGCCATGATCAAGAATTCCTTGCAGGAAGCAATAAAGGCAGCAGTGGGTGATTTATGAAGACTTGACAGTTTATTCCTTGGCCCTAACAATTGAAAACTGAGACAAGAAGGTATTTCTTTTTTTAAAAGAAAATAATTCTCCCTGGCCCCCCAGTTCCTATCTATACCACACCTTTCTCACACATTTCTGCATATGGTAAAGTACATGACTGGGGTTCATTACATATGGAATAGCTCCTCTGCCATGGCACCAATGTGAGTTGTGGATTTCACTCAGGTCTGTTCTAACCTCCCCTTGCCATGGCTGTGGACAGAATGGTACCTCTGCACAGCATACAAGAAAACATCTTCAAAATTGAACACGGGTACAACCTTGCAAATACACTTGGCCCCTATACCACACACTAAGGATTCAAGTGGTGCAGGTGGCACTCTGTGAACTGATACAGGAACAGAAAACCTTGCCACAGAGGCTGTCCAGCCATGTTAAACATGGTTTATAAAAACCTAACACAAGCAGCTATAGTTGATAAGCATGATGGGTTTTTCTTTGGCTTTCTATCAGATCAATGTGCTGCACTGAGACACGCTCCAGCCACACCACGTGAGGTCCAGTGAAGGAGAAGCTTTGAAAAAGCACCCTAGAGACTGGCGGGGGGAGCAGGGCTGTTCCTTTTAGCTTAAATCTGCAGCTAGATTGGAGTAAGTGTAACACAAAACCACACAAGGTCTGGCTTGCAGGAAAAGAAGGTCCTTGAGATTAGTTTATTGTCTCTCTCATTTATTGCTTTCTTTAAGCAGCTGTACTGGGATGTAGGAGACTGTCTGGTGTGAAAGTTCAGGGATGGAATAATTAGATTCAATGACATGATTATGGATTTTATGTGTGAGGCACCTTTGATTGTGGAAAAAGTTAAAGCATGTTCTCCATAAAGCTTGGGAGGTTTCTCATAACACTAGTACAAGTAGGTAGATGAAGAGATGTTAAATTCGTAATTGTTTCTTTTATCTTTCCTGTGATAGAGACAGAGTTCTGTTTTAAAGACGTACCAAAACTCAGGTCTTTCATCTGGAGTGCAAAATTCATGTGTTCCCTGACCTCATGTGTCACATGGTAATGAAACAACGTAAATCAGAAATGTTAAAAGTTGAAGTTTGTTAATATTACTGCTGAAGCTCCAGTCTCTTTCCCATTTAAACTGACAGGTCCATAGTCCAAATATATATATTTACAGATTACAATGACACAAAGGAAAAAAAAAATTAATGGACACCCAATGAGAAACAAATGGAAATGTAAGTTTCAGATGACTATCTGGAAATTAAAAGAAAATTAAAAAACACCACAAAACGAACTTGTCTTTCTTTGTATCATACTACCACCTTACTTCCAAGGAAATACCTTGGTGATTTACGTTCTGTGGGGAAAAATTAGTAAATAGCATACATTTTGCATTCTCTTATGTTTCCTCTCAAGCTGTCACCCAGATTCAGGAATGTATCTTCCTGAGTTGTGTTAGACATTATCTACTGATATTTTGGGGTCAGTAACCAAAATAAGATGGACCCCTATCAGCCTCTTCATTTGTTCCTACCCTTGCCAGCCACTTCAGAACAACTGGCTTAATCTGATGTAGACCAGAGGTGGCAAGAGCTTGCAAAGCAACACAAAGACTTTGGGAAGACTGGACTAAGGCCAGTCCAGCCTTGGGACACAATCAGCAACGTGTTTTTTTCAGTTGCCCACTGGCCTGGTATTTATGAATTACAAAAAACAACTCCCCTCTTTCC